TTATTATTTAATTATGATATTTGTGGTCTGTTTTACTTAACATTTATCCTGTGGATAAAGACATTTTATTGAAGAACTGCTGACAAGACAAGCTTGAGACACTTCCTTGACCTACCCACATCCCACCTCGATCGCTATCGCCGATTTATTGAAAGTAGAGGGTAGATCTGTGTTTCAGTGGTTACCATCTTGGGAGACTGCTTTCCACAGGAGCAGAGCAGGAAGCAAACAGGGCCAGGGGGGGAATGATCTCTCCAGCACACCCACACCCAGTTGACTGCTCTGCTTAGTTTTTCCTGCTTTACTCACTTTGTCTAGATCATTGCTGAGCTCAAATCCGGACATTCTCCAAGGAAAATAGAGGCAAATTTTCCTACTGTGAGATGAGATTTGCCTAAGCTTTCTGTCTGCATCCGTGGAATACCCACGTGTTGGTTCATTTCTGAGCTTTATTGTGGAAAAAGCTCTAGGGTTTCAACTTCATATAACAACTTGTACTCCCAGCTCAGCACTTCTGAGGACACAGTTATCCAAGGTTCTTGCAGAGAAAGTGAGTGGTACAAACTGGCCTTTTTGTAGCTTGGAGTTGATTTCTGAAAGCAATTTAAGAGAGATGATTCCTTATTCAAGTCAAAAAGTTGAATTATATTAACTAGTAAACTTTTGCTTTTTGTGTAACTTTCATCATTTCCCCTCCAAGATCCTCATATCTGTGCTCTTATTTTCAAGAAACCTCAGGACAAAGGACTGGCTATAGCGCCCTTTCCTGTGACATTCTGGGGCATGCCATCTGCCCTGGTGAATGATGGTAAGGCCCAAGGCTACAAGGGACACCCAGTTGCCAGAATTCTGTTACAGTGCTTTCCTGCCAGGGTAGTAGAGCTTGCAAAGCGCTCAAACAATAGGCCAACACAAGACAGGAATTTTTAGATTCAGCTAGCTTCCCTACCACAATTCTGCTACATCAATGCTTTGAGGGCAATGGGTCCAAAAAGGAAGTCACTTGCTTCAGAATGCCCACACCCACAAATCAAAGATTGCCTCTGGTGAGAATCCTCTCCAAAAAAACCAAAACTGGACATTTAATGAGCATTTTTCTTTGTTAGGAAGGGTCTGGTTGGCAAATCCTCTTTCCCAGTATCTCAGGAACTTGTAAGACTTGAGAGGATTGTTGTTCTTTCATGGGAAGAACATGCACTTGGCTGCTTAGGCTTCAGCGTGTGCGGGGAGTAGTTTATCTTGGCCCAGACTCTCTATAGTCCTAGCTACACATGACTTTGGGGAGGAAAGTTCAAAGGGAGAGCAAGCATTTGTGGACAAACTTGTACCTTTGGTTCACAAAGCAATCTGTCTAATCCACCTTTTTTCTAGTAATAAAATGGAGCAAAGGTAGCTTACTTTGTGGTAAGAAAACATAAAGGGACTAGACCAAACATTGGTCATTTGATTATTTCAACTTATAGTACCAGCATCAGCACGATTGAGATGAAATGTTCTGTGTTTAATTGGGAGTACTTCGTGTGTTAAAGCTCTATAGAAGGACTTAACTACTGTGTATCTTTTTTAAATACATATTTTTTATTATTGATTTTTTAGAGAGGAAGTAAAAATAGAAATATCTATCAGCTGCCTCCTGCATACCCACACTGGGGACTGAGTCTGCAACCCGGGCACATGCCCTAACTAGGAATCAAACCAGGACCTCAGTCCATGAGACAGTGCTCAGTCCACTGAACCACATTGGCCGAGCTACCATGTATACCTTATTTTTGAAATTACATACCTATGTTGGAACAAGTCAGATGGTTATGGCCTTGGAATGAAGATATTGAGTCTGAGGACGGGAATATGGTTGAGATGACCAGGTTAAGTAGAAAAGTTGCCTTTTTCATTCCGTAAACAAGTGTATCCTTCTGTTATGACGTGCTTTCTGCTACTCTACATGCTCAGCAGTGACAGTGGAATGCCGCTCCTGTTAGTGGAGGCGCAGGATGGGATGCTGTGCTTACTGGACGGCTCCTGGCTCCTCTTCCCGCTTGCTGTGTGTGCATCCTCCCGCTCGTTGGACGAGGTGCACTGTTTTACTTAGATTTTCAAGGGTGCTTAGGTAGTGCCATGGTAAAGATTTCATTCTCAGAGCCTCCTAAAGCTGTGTATCATTTGTAATTGTTCCATTTGAGCTCTGTGCTCTAGTCACCAAGAAAGAATGTCATGAGAAACCTAAGTATTGACACATAAACTACTAAACCAAGTGAGGAATTGGGCCAGTAACTATATGGCAATAGCTAGATCATAGTTACCATTTTTCCCACCATCAAACAAAGATTAAATAGTTTCCATAACATGGAATGCGGACAAGGCTCCTACCCTTAATGTAGACTTAGATATGTAGTTGTTTGTCTCAGGCTATTTGTGGTGAATAAGCAGAGTATTTTTAAATGCTCTTGGCAGCCTCGGAAAAATTGCAGGGCTTTAAACTTGTTGACAAAATGTTTCTTAAATAAATAAATCTGATTTAGAAATATCTAAACATGGACAAAGTACTTTTAAATCTGACATGTCACTGTAAGTGGCTTTAAAGTGGTTGCTTTAAAACAATATTAACATGACTAAAGGATTTGTAGCTCTAAGTTATTCTAGTTCTACTAAGAACCACTTCTAAAAGCATCTTTAAAAGGGTAGTTTGAGGGTTTGCTTCCTAATTTTAGGTCTCGGCAGTGCTATGCATATGGTAGGGGAACATCAGTCTCAACAGAACACTAAACTTTCTCGGCTTTAACGGACTTTTCTGAAATACACCATCTGAGCTTTAACTGACCATCTTTGTAGAGACGAATGTTATGGAGCAAGTCTTCTTGTGAGAAAACACTGCAGGGCTGGGGTCTGCTGTGCCTCTGACCAGCTGCTGGGTGTGCTAGGGTCCCTGTTAGCCTTACATGCCCTAAGATTGGGAGTTTAGTACCCAAAAAGTGGTATGGTATCTGGTATTTTGTTTTTTCAAATACCCAGGAAAGAAATTCTGAAAAGAGTTGGGAGATCTGTCTTCTCAGTCTAAAATGCCTCAGGTTTAAGGGGCGGGAGTGCACACACACACACAGGAGTGGGGTGGGCTTAGCTTGTGTTCTCAGTGGTTAGAGCGTTGGCATGTTTGATTCCTGGTCAAGGGTGTACCTGGATTGCAGGTTCAATCCATGGCCCTAGTTGGGGTATATGTGTGGGAGGGAACCAATGGATGTTCTTCTCTCTTTCTCCCCACCTCCTTCCACTCTTCTTAAAAAAAAAAAAAAAAATCAGTGGAAAAAATATCACCCTGACCAGTTTGGCTCAGCAGTTAGAGCATCGACCTGCAGACCAAAGAGTTGTGGGTTCGATTCCAGTCAAGGGCACGTACCCTAGTTGCGGGTTCAGTCCCCGGTCCTGGTCATGAGGGAGGTAACTAATTGGTGTCTCTCACGTCGATGTTTCTCTTTCTCTCTCCCTCTCTCCCACTCTATCTGAAGTGGAAAAATATCCTCAGATGAGGATTTAAAAAATAACAAAAAAATGAGGACGGGGGGGGGGGGGGGGGGGGGACGACTGCAGGGGCGAGGTGCATATACATTTTAAGTTCAGCTTCCTTTATTGGCAAGAGACACTTGCATTCATGCTTTAATAAACCCAGCTGCAGCTGCCCATGGACACTCTTCTAACAGGAATAATATAAAGAGAAGTAACACTGCTCTGAATCTTAGACTTTAATGGAATCTGAACTCTTAGAAAATATATTTTAGTGGCCCTGAAAGCTGTAACCAGCAGTGGAATTCCTACTTATTCCTATTGTGTTTTTCACTTCTCAGTCTTTGGACCCACTGCCAGAGACATCTGACTAAAAAGAGACTTATGTGGACAATACAAAAATTGTGGTAAATTAAACTGCTCGTGTTGGTCCTTACTGTAAAAGGGAAGGTATGTCAATTCACTATTATAAGCTAGCTCTGTAGTTACTATAATAACTCACTTAGAAATTCTTTGGCTTTGGGAAAATTTAAGACTATGTGTAAATTGGGCAACATTTCTATTTTGAGTGACAATAATTAATAACTGGGGTACTATAAACAGTCTCTAAAATTTAAAGCAAGACGGTACCTAATTGCTATCTGCAATAGCATTTCTAAAGTGATACTTTAAAAGTAGCATAGTCCTGCCCTGGTTTTGGCTCAGCGGTTGGAGCGTCGGCCTGCGGTCCAGAGAGACCCGGGTTTGGTTCCCGCTAAGGGCGCGTGCCTCGGTTGCAGTTTGTCCCCGGCCCTGGTTGGTCGTGCGGGTAGCAGCCACTCGATGTGTCCCTTTCACGTCGATGTTTCTCTCTCTCTCCCCCTCTCTCCCTTTCTCCCTCCCACTCTATCTGAACAAAAAATGGAAAAATGTCCTCGGGTGAGGATAAAAAAATTTTTTTTAAAGTAGCCTAGTCCTAATAAATACCAGTTAGAATGCATTTTTTTTTCCATTATTTATTTTAGAGAGAAAGGAAGGGAAAGAGAGAGATAGAAGCATTGATGGAGAGAACACTGATTGGCTGCCTCCTGCATGCCCCCCATTGGGGATCAGGCCCACAACCTGAGCATGTGCCCTGACTGGGAATCAAACTGGCGACCTCTTGGTGCATGGGTCGACGCTCAACCATTGAGCCATACTGGCCGAGCAGAATGCATGTTTCTTGAGATGACATAGTGCAAGGCCATAGATATTGAAAGTGGTGAGGTGATATGGCCTTAGCTAAATGACTGTGTTCCCTACCTATATGACTTATATCCTCACCCGAGGATATTTTTCCATTTATCTTCAGATAGAGTGGGAGGGAGGGAGTGAAATAAACATCGACGTGAGAGGGACACAGACTGGTTGTCTCCCGCACAACCCCAACCGGGGGGGTTGGGGGGGACAAACTGCAACCGAGGTACGTGCCTTAGCAGAAACCAAACCCAGGACTCTGGTCCGTGGGCAGACACTCTAACTGCTGAGCCAAACCAGCCAGGGCTGATTTTTTTAAAAAGAGAGAAAAGCCCTACCTCATAGTCCTATACCAAAAAACTTCCCAGGAAATTGAGTCCTATTTAAGTGCTATAAATTTAACTGTTAGTCATGCTAAACTATGCTTCTTTTGAGAAGAGAATGTCAAATTGATGTCACTAAGCTAAACCTAAACCCAATAGTTATTACAGCTGTGCTACAGAAGGGGTCAAAGTCAGTATTACAAATATTATACTTTATTGAATTCTAGAGCAGCTAATCTACCCTCCCATTTTGACCAATGACAATAAGAATGAAAGAAATATATGAAGGTTAAAGTAAGAGTCTACACCACTGTTAAAAATGTTGTAACAACTTTCATTGTGCTGAGAGGCAGTTATAATACCCCCTAAAGTATGCAGTAATGATTCATTCTTGTTCAAAACAACAAGAAGTGATTTTACTTAGGATTCTGAAGTCAATCTATTCACACTGATTGTGCCCTCTGCTGTAGTAAGGTTCTGGCTTACAGAGCCTGCTCCCTGTCTTCTACTGTTTGACAATGGAATTCAGCATTCAACTCCAGAGGATAGAAGGCTAGAATTCGAAAGCATGAACCACACGATAGAGCCCACACTAAAGAATTTTCCTCAGTTATGCTGTAATATAAGAAGTAAGTTCCTCCTTCTTTTTGGGGGCTTCCTCCTTTGTCCCCTTTCAGCTAAATTTTTTCTACAGATTTATCCCAGATGAGAAAAAAGATTGTTTTTCAAAAAACAAGATTTTTTTGGTATCAATCACAGAACTGCAGAAATAGATGAAGACTTTTGCCTCAAAATGAAATTGCTGCAGTCTATTCCAGATCAGCCCTACAGCAAATAGAGAACATTTTGCAAAGCCACTAACGGACAACAGCCTTACCTAAGTCACTGAGGACACATAAAAGGGACTTTGACTTTAACAGAAGACTACATTTGATAATGGAAACAATATATTTCTCCACCGATATACAATACTATGTAATGCACGAAAAAAGATGGATTTTGGAGTAAGAGCACAACTTGTAACATAACAGCATTTTGGATCACCTCCTTCCATCATCACCCTTGTTCCACTCTGAGACCCTTCAACATACTGATGATGAAACTAGACAAGGAAACGGTGTCACAAGGCCCGACGGAGCCATCTGCATGCAATTCAGCCCAGCTTTACCCTTACTTTTTTCCAATACAGATGCCATTACAATTCTGAACCATCTGTAAAGAGTGTAGACACACAAAACTAAAACAAGTATCTCCCTATGATTAGAATTATCTTAAGGTCTTCAGAAACTTTTCAGATATACCTTTGATGGAGTGCCCCCCCCTCCTGCTAGAACCCAAACAGGGACATGGTATGCTCCTGTGAGTCCTGCCAGAACTTGTTTAATGGGTGCTTAGAGTTTTGGTTTTCTTCCTTATTCTTCCTCTTCCTCCTCTTCCTCTTCATCATCATCTTCATCATGGCAGTGTGTAATTTCCTGCGGGGCCAATGGGAAGAGGTTGGGAGGTTTAATCTCACTGATCGACCGTGTCAACTGGTGCCGCTTGTAGTCAGTATCTTTGAAATCCACTGAAGTACGGTTCCGGGTGGCAAGGGGGGACTCCATTTCATTGATATCTACGTGTGTGTGTTCCACCGTTGATTCATGAGGCATCTAGAACCAAGTCAGAGGTTCAGAAAGCAGGTGGGGAAAAATAGCTACTTCCCAAATTCTAACCCCCCTCCTCTTATAAAAAATAGTTCAAACATGCTTTAATGATGCTATCACAGAATTCCAGTAAAGCCACTGCATCATTAAGAATGTTACAAACCTGCACAGTCCTTTTGATGAGTGTTACCTGAAAAATTTCCCACTCCCTACATTGCTCTATCATGTGTGCAAAAAGAGCATATCCATTTCCACAGGCTCCAGCTATTTGAGTGCCATCAACTGACCAGGCAATATGCTGCCAGTGCTGTAATGACCCAACAGCAAATAATTCTCCATCTGAAGCCCAGGAAACTGAGGTAATAGGAAGCTTATGAGGCTGTGAATTTGTACAGCGGGTGGCCATAACTAGCCCATATGTGATATTTACAGATTTCACCAGCAGATAAAATTAAATCATTGACTGAGTTCCCATCTACTTTTAAAATAATGCCATCGTGAGCGTTCCACTGTAAAACTTAAGCATTTGGTTAAAGAGGCTTAACAAACAGCTGCTTGCCTGCTGGGTAAAGAACCTTTTCTGAATCAGGGTCCCACGCTACTGAATACACTGGTATTCCTTGCTGAGCTAAGGTTGATCTTAGCATTCCATTCTTTGACGATTAAAAAAAAATTTTTTTTTTCTTTATTGATTTTAGAGAGAGAACATCGACTGGCTGTCTCCTGCATGTCCCCCACTGGGGATTTGGCCCACAACCTGGGCATGTGCCCTGACTGGGAATTGAACCGGTGACCTCTTGGTGCATGAGTCGATGCTTAACCACTGAGCCACACTGGCCAGGCTTTGACGATTTTTATTTGTCCATCTTCTCCAACCCTAACTAATGCTGTTCCTTCGTAATTTCATCTTCCTGAAAGTACAGCTCCACAGTGAACTGCTACAGTTTTTCTCATTCTTCCTAACTTAGAAATCAGATGACCTTGAAGCTTTACTATTTGACTTGTTTCACTAGTTAAAAACAAGCTCCACTTCATTGTTTGGTGAGCATCACTGCATGAATACAATTCTCAGCAGTAGTTCAGCCCACACAGCTTACTAATTCTTGATATTTGAGTTCTTTTAAAATATCCTCAGTCTTTATGTGTCTCTACTCTCCAGGAAAGTGCTGGCGATTGCTTTCTCAGAGCTGGGAAGCCTCCTGACCTCCCTGTCAACATAGTGACTTCAGAGGTACCCTCCTCTCCCTCTTTAGGTGGCCATGCAGAGAGATGTCTATCAGATACTGAAGTGTCTTCCTGGAACTCACTAAAGCTACCTAGCCTCTCCCTCAACTCTCAAAACTATGCCCAGATCGTTTACTATTGCCTGAAACTGGCTAAGGTTGGAGAGAAGAGATCCTCATTTCCTATTTCACAGCAAAAACAGTCCTGGAACATAGCTGAACATAGGAATATAAAAACCACATTTCTCTCATTTAGTGCTAACATAAGGAAAGTTTTCACCATTCAAACAACCTATAATAGAGTAGATTTCAGAGTAAAGGTATATGCCCTGCAACCTCCTATCTTGATCATATTTTCTCAGACTTTTTTGTGCAACCTACCCTTGGGCTTTGCACATATTTAAAAATGTAATAATCCAAACTCTCCTGTGCCATCCCACAGAACTGGTTGAGTATCTTAAATGTAAATAGTAGCTTACAGCTGCATTAACGCACCAAGACATGGGCAGCTCTGAAGAGGTAGCTGAATGGGTAATACAGCAGATTGATGAAAGACGCTGCGTAGAGATCAGCATACCGCATCACCTGACTGGCAAAGAGGGTCTGCCGGGAGCCACTGCGAAACAGACTTCCCATCATCCCATAGCACATGTCCATGTCATGAGTTACTTTCTAAAACAAAGAACAAGATTGTCAGCTCATTAAAAAATAGTTATTGTGCATTGGCTATGTGCTAGTCTCTGTATAAAATTAGAAATATGAAAATCACTGCAAGTTTTCTCTCAAATCCCATTTGGATACCTTAATACGTCTCTGGATGGAGCTAATGTCTGGGCGCTCATTGCTGCTGCTGTCAAGATGCCTGGAAACAACACAAAAAGTCCAGTGAAAACCTCTAGAAAGGAGATCTCTTATACCTAGGTGACTCTCAAAAAGGTAGGTGGGTTTTAGGGGCAAAACTTACTTGTAGAGTTCAGCCAAGAAGATATCCAAGCTCTGAAGCTCTTCAAAAAGTGCTAATTAAGGTTTGGAAGGAAAAGGAAAATACTTTTATCAAGTGAAAGGCATCCAGTTTTTAATTACTGCCGAAACTATATTAAAAGGTTGCAGATATGACTGAAAAGTAAAGCCATCGGTGAATGTATAAAATAACTTCCTTCACCCACTTCAGGAAACTCCACTGCTACTCAGCCTGCAATCTGGCAGCATATGAAACCACAGTTTCTTCTAACTGCCTTTCTTCCTGCTGAAATACCACTGCCCACAACTCTCCTTCCAACTGGATGCTGAGTCTAAGCTTACAAAGTGCCAATTCACACCCCATCTCTTGTGTGTCAGCAAAGCAAGTATTTTTTTTTATCCTCACCCAAGGACATTTTTCCATTTTTTGTTTAGATAGAGTGGAAGGAGAGAGGGACGAAGGGAGGGTGAGAGAGAGGTGGAAGGAGAGAGGGAGGGAGGGAGGGTGAGAGAGAGGGAGGGAGAGAGAGAGGGAGGGAGAGAGATCCATCGATGTGAAAGGGACACATCGAGTGGCTGCCACCCGCACAACCTATCCAGGGCTGGGGACAAACTGCAACTGAGGTACGTGCCCTTAGCGGGAACCAAACCCAGGTCTCTCGGGACTGCAGGCCGACGCTCTAACCACTGAGCAAAACAGGTGACTTTTTCCAGAGTTACAAGTCTAGGAAATAGAGCCAGATCAACTAGATTTCTAAAACTTCATAGGTGGGAAGTTGAAAATGTAGATGAAAGGCTAGCCAGAAAATTCCACTGATAAGTACAAACAATACCAACAGCCAGCACCTGCTGTGTGTTTTCTGTTTCTAGCTTTTCTCCACCTGGATTCCCCAAAGAGAAGTAAGCCTTAATGTAATCTTGTATATTGCAAATTTTATCTGCCATCTTTGGGAAAATGGAGAGTCATTCAATCATATTCTCTGTTCTGTGGTTCAGAGGTGGAGCCCTGGTTAAGAAGGGTTGTTAATTGTAACTTTATACACACCTCACCTCAGTTGAGTCTCATCAGCTTTATGAGGTAGGTATTACTATCCACATTTTCACATTTGAGAAAACTAAGGCAGAGGGTGTCTCAGTAACCTGTCTAAGGGCATGCAGGCATTACCTTTCACCACACTGTAATGATAGCTAGGACTGGTCGAAGAACTTGTGTGTCAAACATTTGTACATAACTAAATCCACAGCTCATGTTTCAGTGTCCACAGTGTAGCTCAGTTCGGAGAATGGAATTTGGCCCCATTCTCTCCTTCTCAGAAGAGCAAATAAAAAATACTAGGAGGTGCCCTGGCTGGTTTGGCTCAGGGTTAAGAGTGTTGGCCTGAGGACCAAAGAGTCTCAGATTCAATTCCAGTCAAGGGCACGTACCTCAGTTGCAATTAGGTCCCCGGCCCCAGTCAGGGTCACGTGGGAGGCAACGAGTCGATGTCTCTCTCTCTCTCCCTCCCTCCCACTCTATCTGAAGATAAATGGAAAAATATCCTCAGGTGAGGATTTAAAAAACAAAAAATATCAGGAGGTGATTAACACGCAGAGCCATCAATGCCCCAGCTACAAGCTGCTGGCAGAGAGAATGGAACTAGTAGCACAGTTGGACAAACGGGACTCAGAAGAGAGAGGAGTTCACAGATTAGCTGCTATTGTAATAGAACTCAGGGAATAACATTTTATACTTAAAATTGAAGGGATTCAAGAAGAAAGCTGAACAAGATAACCTCATATTTCTTCAAATTCTGGACTTTTGTGAAATATCGGGCTCTGGGAAGGAGCTATATGCAAATGTCAGGGCCCATCTTTTGACTGCCTCTGACCCCTGCATACAATGGTACACCAAAGAGGACTGATTGGCAGGCTGGCCATTTATGTAAACTAGCTATGTCAAAGATTTATAAAATAAGTAATGGCTCCTTACAACTTTTATCAGTCCAGACATGAAGCTCCTGTGCAAGTTCAGGAATCACCAAGAATGTTCGCCACCCTTGCCGTTTTTTTGATTTTAAAATGTCCCCAAAAATGTGATCTCCAATATACAAAATGTCTTTGCCCTTGGCTCCCAACAGATCACAGATCGTATCAGATGAACCTGAAAGAATAAACAATGAGAAAAAAATGTCCCCATATTTAAAAAATCAGCATTCCCAGTACCATAACCATTAAATACTGTGGTCATTCATTTTATTCTTACAGTTATGTGAGGAACACACCAGGAAAAAGGCTCACCTTCCTTAAAGACAAAAACCCATAATTGTCTTTTTCTCATCATTCTTTTTATTGCCTCTAAGACAACACCTTCAGTTCCAATGTGCTGACCAGCTCTTGATCACCAATTCCAAGAGCAACAAAACTACTGTCTCAGCTTTAGTAATGACTATAACCCTCAAAAATACCTCTTTTTTCTCATCACAGATCTGCAATTAAGTTTCTCACTCCAACAAAATATGCATCTGTGTCCACAGGGGTTCCTTGAGGACCCCTTGAGAACTACCCCAAATAATTCCAGGACACTGAGAAAATAAGAAAAAGCCTCAGATAAGTAAAAGAAAGTGGGGGAAAACAGGTCCTTTTAGTGAAAATCAAAGATTCATTAGAACACACTAAAAAACTTCTCAAACCCATTCTCCCTGACTATTATATCAGTAGGTGACTCAAGTATTTACTATCAGTAGATGACATCTTTGGAGAACCAAAGGGTATTTGTGCCACTATGCTAGGAGGACATCAATGCCTTCATGGTGAGGTCTGAGCAAAGATGTACACTAAAAAAAGGGAAGTCTGCAACTCACCTCCTGAGTAGACAATACCATGCTGCAAGGGGCCTGTGTAGGTACCAATTTTCAGCTTGCCTGTTTTCTGTGAGAAAAGAATATGGACTTTGTAATACTTTATTATTCTATCATAATCGCTACCTAAAATGCTACTTGGCTAGGCAACCAAATAAAAGGCACTTCTGAATTATTCAGCTACCTCAATTGAAACCAAAAGTCTTTGAATAATTTCAAAAGAGAGATCTAGCTAAAATAGTTAAAAATACTCATTTCCTTAGGGAGAGTAGGAGCGGGGGAAGGAGAAACACAAAGGACAATGTGCTAGCAGACAGAACATCCTCTCAACTTACAGTATCCACCTGACGCAGTACTGTGCCTTCTCCAAAAAAAAGTGGTTTCCGTGCATCTACCAAGATCAGGTCAAAGTAGGACTGCCACGGTCGATGGGAGCTCCCAGGCTGATGAAGAAGAAAAACAGCAAAAGCTGAAACATCACTCCTAACCTTAATGCACTAAGATTTAATCTCACTCAGATACAAGGAATGTAGAAATACTAAGTATAATCAGAAGATCCCACTATTTTATTAAAAATATATTGTGTCTTGTAAGCTACATACTTTCGGAAGCAGGCAAGGTGAAAATATAAATTAATGACTAATAATCTCTACATTTTAAATCATTTCATATACTACTTATTTCACAGAAATTTAATATATAAAAGTGTGCTCACACTCTGAAATAAGCAAAAAGAGGCTCAAGGGGGCTAAAGAGAGATGCAGATCAATACATCATACCCAAGAGACAAATTAACAGAGGCAGATAAGCATAAGAACTGAAGTATACAAACTGGCTTGGAATTATTAGGAAATTGTACTAGTTGTGACTTCAGAATGATGGCTCTAGGTACACATTGGTCTTTGGCTCCTACTGCAGGCTAACCACAGCATTAATATAAAAGTTATGCCAAGCCCTGGCCGGTTTGGCTCAGCGGTTAGAGCGTTGGCCTGCAGTCCTGAGAGACCCGGGTTCGGTTCCCACTAGGGGCATGTACCTTGGTTGCAGTTTGTCCCTGGCCCCGGTTGGGGCCATGTGGGTGGCAACCACTCGATGTGTCTCTCACATTGATGTTTCTCTCTCTCTCTCTCTTCCTCCCACTCTATCTGAACAAAAAAATGAAAAAATGTCCTCGGGTGAGGATAAAAAGAAAAAAAGATATGTCCATTAGCATTATTTCCATTCTGAAACTGAACCATGGCATTAACCTTTTAAGGTCAAGCTGAAGAGCACTGCACACTGTGCTGTGGGTGATCTCAAAATAGGGATTTACTGATACTTATTTTAAAAAGCCTAGGATTGAAATAGCACATGTATGTGATTAACTTGCCATGAATGCACTTAAATCTAAGTGCAGCCATACTGCAGAAATAAAGACTTCTCTGCTAAAACTGCTCCCCTTGGTATAAAACTCATCAATAACTAAGCAGAATCTAGAGGTTGTCAAGAATATACACATTTTCTCTGTTTCTTTTAATCAGTTATCTTCCTCAACCTGAAAATTCCAAACTTAGCTCTGTATAGATGTTACTGGGTGTAAAATTACTCTGATCCTATCCTACTAAATACCACATGGACATCTCTTACTTCTGTCTACTAAGTTTTCAAATTGCTAGCAACTTTAAATAACACCAGTACCTGCATTACTTCTAATGTTAATGAAGATTTCTGAATGGGTCCTGACCAATTCCTTAACATTAATATTCCAGGCTGATTAAACGCATTCATTACTAAAGCAATGGTCTATTAATTTACATATAGTACCTTGGGGCCATGTGGGAAATCAAACAGGTAAGTCATAATTTTCTGGGGGGAAAAAAAAAATCCAACATAAGGTCCATATACCACTTCTACAAAAGATATAAAACACTACCAAAAAAAAAATCATACACAAGTTTTTCATAAGACATGTCTTTTTCAATATAGGATTCATCCCATTCTCATTTCCTCTAAAGTTTATGAAATCATAGCTATGAAATCCAGAAATTAATGCGTCATCATAACAAACAAACATACAAAAGCTTCTGACATTCTTAGTAGGACATGGATTTCTTCTAGAAGATATCTTTGTCCAGATTCATCCATATATCCCTACCTAATTCTCCTAGTGGACTGGAACACATTTTTGGAGGTAAGGGTCTTCTGAGGTTAGAACACAGAGAAAACTAATGACTCACATGGAAATAACGTTACCTTGGCCTTCTTACTACTCTTCACAGGCCAACCAAGCCAATGAACCACTGGCTTATTCCAAATCACCAGATTTCTAAGACAAGATTTTACATAAAGAGGATTGGGAAATAATGAGTTTCTTGCTAGTACTATGAATTTATAACTGTCTTAGCAAAATTAAGATGAGGTTAAGGAGTTAAATCAGCTTTTCTACATGCTTTAATCTGGCAAAAAGCATTTATGTTAAGCAGTAGTAAATTTTGATGGCTAAGAATAAAACATCTTTGCACCATCTACTGTTGTCTGGCTCCCAACAACAGGGAGGGCATGTGCTCATGCACAGTAAAGGGAGTGACTTAAGTTTATATAAATGATGTGCCAAAGAGACAGAAGCCATTCTGATCAGCACAAATGTCTAAAATAACCCCCAAATTAAAACGTTCAAGTAATCAATTGTAACCAGGGAAAACAGTCAAAAGAAATATGTAGAAAAATTTGAGAACCACTCTGATGCAGCCCTTATGCTATATATTTTTGCTCTTTTCACTGCTTTCAAAATGAAATGGCAAAAACTACCCATAATAAACTATTATCCTTCCCATTATCTTCACAGTTCTTTAGGCCAAAGTAATTCTTCTATATAGATAAACAAATATTAATATTAAGCACTTACATCTGTATATTTATAATCACTGTTGGTGGCAAGAAATACTTTCCCTACTTCCTTCATCCGGCTCAGAAGCAAAGGCAGCTTTCCCTGAAATATAATAAATGAAACACTGGAACACGAATACATATTCATTTACTGTGGAATAGTCATATACTGGACTTTTGTCCACGGAAATAAAAACAGAGGATGCCCTTTAAGGGTTGGTTGGATGGTTTCAGATTTCTGCATTTAGAAGACCACATTATCACTATGCATAAATTAAGAATTAACAAATGTAATATACGTTTGTATATAATATACAGATTTTACATATAAAATGATACATATAATTATAAACTTATTAAAAACATCTCTACCTTCCCCATGTCTGCCTCAGGAAAGAGTTTAAATTACTTTGTAATCTTAGTATGTGAATTAGATGTGTTAGTGATCAGGAGAAGCTTTTAAACATCACAAGCAAAATCCTCTATATGGTGAGTATCAGATATAGCTTCATTGCATATACTTTCATTTTTTTAAAAAAATACCTTGCTGAACTGAAATAACATGTGCAGAATACAATCTAGAAATGCCTAGACTCACCTGTAGATACATAAGGTAATGCTAACTCCTCATATAACCCGAAAGAAAAACAGATTTTCCTTCTCTCACAGTATAAACAGGTTCCTTTACTCAAATTCTCCTGGACTTCTCCTGAACCCCTCAGTGTTCTTCTTGAAACAACAAGAACTGGGGTGGGAGTGGAAGGGAAACAGGAAGTACAAAACTAAAATCAATATGTAATCTTTACCAAAGTATGTTGAGAAAATAGTGCATATGCTACTTTCCTCTGTAAAAAAGGGAAGAAGTATGTGTGTGTTTACTTTTTATTTTGAAATGATTTTAGACGTAAAGTTGTGAAAATGGTAGAGAGGGTTCCCGTATCTTTTTCATTCAGCTTCCCTTAATATTAGCATCTTATATAATCACAGCACAATTATCAAAACTAAAAGAATTAATATTGACATAATACTATTAACCAAACTATAGATTCTGCTGAATTTTATTAGGTTTTCCTCTAGTGTCTTCTAAGTTATTTTTAAAGTTTTCTTTATTATTTCTTGTTGATAGTTTAAAGACAATTTAAATAAGTTACATTTATGTACATTTTTTAGATGATCTAGCATAGTGGTTATGATTTGGGTTACTACTTCTCAGCTGCATAAACTTGGTTAAGTTATTTAATCCTTTTATTCCTCAGGTTCTTCATCTATAAAGCAGAGATAACATTACTTAATTCAATGTTATATGGAAGATTAAATGGGATAATGCATGTAATCACTCAGCACATTGATGTGCACACAGTAACCACTCTACCTGCTATTATAATTAGAGTTATAACAACAAGTGGAATACTAGGTCTTCTTGATTATCAACAAACAGGAAAAACTGTACTAAGACCTACGTTCTGGCTGAAAACTCTTGGTAATTACAGCTGGCATATATTATGCCAGAACAAGAAAATACCTTCCCCTTGTGTATTTTGTTATACATAGGCTTGTTATTAATTTCCCTAATAGGTAAAATAAGCTATCATGTAGATTTCCCCATATTACTTACATCTTTGACTACATACTTCTCAAGATTTTCAACTGTCTTTTCCTTAAGGGAGCCCTGGGGAGGGGGGGGGGGGATAAGAAAAGAACAAAATCATTCTTTAACAGTTTATAAGACAAATTGTGTCTACTATCAACCCAGATGCATGTAAGTATTTACCAAAATGGAAAACTGGATGCACTGGAGAAGGCCAGGGTAAAGTGGGAGATGTGATTTGCTCCAACTCTGCCTCCAAAACGTATTTAAAATATAAAATTATTTTTATTTTAGGCTAGAAACCAAAAGGCATTTCATATTTTACTCAATACAATTTACAGTAAATGTAAATATAGCATTTGTTAACGTCATCAGCCAAGTGGGAGGTATTTGAAAGTACCAAAATGGACCATAATTATCCCCATAAGATATAGCAAGTATAATAGTAACACTAAAATCTCTTTTAAGTGTGTTTGGGAAATACAAATTGAAATAAGATCTAGAAATCAAGCACCACCATTGAGAAAATATCAGCTTTATCTCTGAAAGCAGGACAATCAAAGACGAGAACAGCCCTGGCCGGTTTGGCTCAGCAGTTAGAGCGTCGGCCCGCAGACCAGAGAGTCCTGGGTTCGGTTCCCGTTAGGGGCGCACATCTTGGTTGCAGTTTGTCCCCGGTCCCATGTGGTTGTGTGGGTGGCAGCCAGTCAACGCGTTTCTCTCACATCCATGTTTCTCTCTCTCTCTTCCTCCCTCTCTCCTTCCCACTCTATCTGAAGATAAATGCGCGTGAGGATTAAAAAAAAAAAAAGACAACAAAAAAGTATTATAAAGAGCTACTGCTAGGGGGCAGATCTGTTGTGTATTTTTTTTTTTTTTAAATCCTCACCTGAGGACATTTTTCCATTTTTTGTTCAGGTAGAGTGGGAGGGAGAGAGAGGACCAGAGAGAGAGAGAGAGAGAGAAACATCGACGTGAAAGGGACACATCGAGTGGCGGCCACCTGCACGAATGACCAGAGCCGGGGACAAACTGCAACCGAGGTATGTTCCCTTAGTGGGAACGAACCCGGGTCTCTCAGGACCACAGGCCGATGCTTTAACCGCTGAGCCAAACCGGCCAGGGCTGTTATGTATTTTTTAAAGAGGAAAAACTACCTTCTATTTGCACTTGAAAAGTTAATGTCACACAATATAACACACATGCCAGTGAGTGAGCAGATAAAGCAGCAGCTCCTAGGTACCTTGTAATGAACCCAGTCAACAGCATCCCTTACATCCTGGAACATACTCCGGTAAGACATGAAGAGGTCCCCATCTTTAAATCCTGTTTCACAGCTACAAAAAGATGAAAAGAACATGACAGGGAATCCAAAGGAGGGTAAATAAAATATCACACATTGCTCAGGGACACAAAGGTTCCATTATCACATGGATAATGGCGCTGGCTAATTAGGAAAATAATTACTCCCTACTGAAAATCCATTTTGACCACCAGAGATGACTATAGTGTTCAATGGAATACAATAATTGTGAACAAATACAAAGTGATAGAATATATTGATGAAAGCTGAAAGGCCACTTCCAAAAATATCAAGTTCCTTTATTCATCACTTTTAAGAAATAGGTTCCCATCAAAGAAACACTTAAAACTTAAATTGGTAATTTAGGTTCTCTCTTCCCTGATTTTTCTAACATCTCTAGATACAGAGGTATTGCCTATTTTCTATTTAGCTCAGTGACTTAGTGCTCTACCAAATTTAGTGCCTTGAAGTGGGTAAGGCCTAAAGAAGATAGGAAGTTAGCAAACTCTGGCACATATGGCTGAACTTTCAGCACTGGTTATGCAAATCACTAAAAAGGTGAGGATAACTTGTTTGAGACTTAAGCAAAATTTTATTTCAGGGAGGATAAATAGTATTTATTCCTCAATCAAATCTTGCTGGGCCTGGGAATGAAACTAAATAACCATCCCTGAATGGCTCCTGGGTAGCTGCTGTGAAATGAGTAGGGGGGTTTTAGTGTAATTCTGCTTGGACAGATAATCATCACACAAACCTCCCACTCAGTTGTCACAATTAGCACCTCTGCTGGCCGTCTTCATTCCCAGGAGAAGCCAATCAGAAGTGGTCCCTTCCAAACATGGCTGCAGCACACTGGCAAGAAGAGGGGCCGAGGGGGAGGTGAGAGCCTGCATGGAGCTGCTGGTGCTGTCCCATCTCTCAGGCTGGCAATGAGGCATCTCTCACTAGCACTAAATTCACTTCAGAAAAGCAGAAAAGACCTACAATGGCCAGTTCTCTAAAACCCTGTACATTAATTTTTTTTAAATCAACTGGGGAAAAATTATACTATATACATACCTCGTATATCTGGGACAATTAGTAAAAAAATCTACTAGGCAGGCCAACAGGTAGGTCTCTGAAAAATGAAGAATATATATTCATAAGCTATAAGTGAGATAATTCAAACTTACTTTATCTCCCTTGAGCAAAGGCAATCATGGAAAGACGAGAAAGCATCAGTATATATAAGCATAGAATGAGTCTACCTGGTAAGTTGAATAGTGTATTCAGAATGTAAAATCTTTCAGTGTCATCCCGTTGGATAAATTTATTTGGATACTGCTCTCTGGTTTCTGGTCTGAAAGAAAAAAGTTTTAATTCACCAATACTCCAAAAACTAACATTATAATAACTATGAGAAATATTCATCATTCAAAAATCATTCAAATATTCTGATGGCTACATGCAAGGCAGATTTCCAAATATTACATATGAAGATAAACAAGTTCGGATTGCAGCCCTTAATAAGTTTTCAGTCTGGCCCTGGCCGGTTTTTCACAGTGGTTAGAGCATCAGCCAACGGATCAATGAGTCTGGGTTCTATTCCGGTCAAGGGCACGTACCTCAGTTGCAGTTTGTCCCCGGCCCTGGTTGGGTGGTGTAGGAGGCAACCAGTTGATGTATCTCTCTCCCTCCCTCTCTATCTAAAGATAAAAGAAAAAAAATATCCTCGGTGAGGATTTAAAAAAAAAAGAGCAGAGGAGGCCATATAAGAGTACAGAGAAAGAGAAGACCGAGACTATATTCATAGAGAACATTTAGAGTTCAAAAGTAAAAGCCAGGAAAATAGAAATTATTAAGATGCATGAGAACCTTGGAGAGTGAAATGAAACACTGCAAGAAGAGGAAGGGGATAGTATTAATAAAAAATATTACAGAGAGCCCTGGCCAGTTTGGCTCAGCAGTAGAGCGTCAACCCTCAGACCAAGGGCACATACCTTGGTTGTGGTTCATCCTGGGCCCTGGTTGGGGTCGTGCGGGAGGCAACCAGTCGATGTGTCCCTCTCACGTTGATGTTTCTCCCCTCCCCCACTCTATCTGAAGATAAATGCAAAAATATCCTCAGGTGAGGATTAAAAAAATACACACACACACACACACACACACACACACACACACACAGAAACTGAAAGGGAGAAAAACAAAAATGTAAAAATGCACAATTCTCATGGTGAATTTGTGGAGATCAACTAATAATCTAAATAACACCAAATTTAAAGTTCATACTCAGAGTAACCTGGATAAACTCCTGCTTGGGTTTGTTAACTATAAATGGCATAAACTCTAGTTAGGAATATAAAATCACACTGTTTCCTGTCCAATAAAGGATAGCTTTGTAGAATAACTCAATTTTTAGCTTTCCAAGATTTTTTTGTATGAAAATTAAGAGGAAAAGGAATAGTAATAGTATGTTTTCCTCAGTCAGGTTTAGTAAGATGACACTGTTCCCTTAGATATATTTTCCTATTCCCTCCATCTTTAAAGAGTAATTCCTTTACATAGGAATAGTTAACAGTTATTAGGGCAAACTGACTTATAAATATAGTTAACAATCCCATTTTGTTTTAATTAAGTGTCAAATCATGCTAATACATCTTTTAAATAAAAATTAACTCAGGAGAAGGTAATGTATTATAAAAGAAGGAATGTTAGACATAGAGTTGAGTGGAAAAGTTATATATAATACAGACTACTGCTAACTTTGTGCAACCCACAGAAAAAAGATTTGATCTCAATATTATCCTATTCTAAAACCTTTTTTAAAAGGCCCGGCCAGTGTGGCTCAGTGTTTGAGCACTGACCCATGCACCAACAGGTCGCCAGTTCAATTCCGGGTCAGGGCACATGCCCAGGTTGTAGGCCAAATCCCCAGCGGGGGGCATGCAGGAGGCCACCAACCGATGTTCTGTTATATTGATGTTTCTCTCTCTCTCCCCCTCTCCCTTTCTCTCTCTCTAAAAATCAATAAAGAAAATAAATAAATAAAACTTTAAAAGCCGTTATCATTGTCCAAAAAAGAGGCCCCAACTCACTGGCAAGGCATATAAGGTGCTGCCTGAAGAAGCCCTAACTACCTTTCCAGCTTTGTCTACCATATACTTCAGTAACTCTCTCCCTCATCTTCCATCCTCAGTCTCTTTCAGTCTTTCCTTTTGACTCTAAAGACTATAGAGTACTAAGTGCTGATTTGAATGATTCTGCATTTACTCATAAATGATTTATTTTTGAAACACTGCTAAATGTATTTCTAAAGGAGTTATTTGGAAACCTTACTGGCTTAGATGGGGGAAGAAAGAAGGTCTGTGGATATTGAGTTAGTAAATCTAATTGTAGTACACTAATTTATAGAATTGCTTCTTTTCCTTTTCTTCTTTGACTACCCCTCCCCCTGTAACACAAAAATCCCTTTCCAGACATTAATAAATAGAATATTGGTTCATTTTCACTGGGATTCTGAGTTATAGTGACAACAACCATATGTAAAATAGCTCAGGTTGCTAGTACTACTTTCAGTCATACAGCGTTTAACTCCTGCATCCTGATATTCATGGGTCTTGAACACACCCCTCATGAGAGGAACAGTGAAAGAAAGGCCTGTCCAAGTGTGTCAAGGTGGGGTTGTTTACTTCACACTTTCCTTACTATCTATACTTGGAAATCTTTGAGCCTGTGGAATATTAGCTGAAGATTCCTGAATAAGATGCTTCAATTCTAAGTAGAGCCTTGCTGCCCTGGCCGGTTTGGCTTAGCAGTTAGAGCGTCAGCCCGAGGACCAAAGAGTCCAGGGTTCGATGCCAGCCAAGGGCACATACCTCAGTTGCGGTTCATCCCCAGCCTCAGTTGGGGCCATGCGGGTGGCAACCAATTGATGTGTTTCTCTTACATCGATGTTTTTCTCTCTCTCTCTCCCCCTCCCACTCTGTCTGAAGATAAATGTAAAAACACCCTCGGGTGAGGATTAAAAATAATAATAATAAGTAGAGCCTTTCTATGGCTTCAGATTTAAAGGAAAACTCTAGTACAGTTTGAATTAGTTTATGCCTCTTATCACAAAATGTATTTATCAAAAAGACGTTATCTCTCTAACAATTTCGATGTAGACTGTGCAGTTTTTACTACTTTGCCATTGAGAATGAGTGATACATGGAAAAGTTACATGAGAGACTGACGTATATAACCTATTTTGGTTTTAAGAGTTGCTCTGACATTAATGCAGTGTCAGTGGTAAATTAGGTAGTATAAAAGTAAGGAAGATATGTAACTGTAAAACCACAATTATAGAAGTTGTCAAATTGCAGTATTATAATTTTTAAAGAGAAAATTAGGATGTTTCACCAAAATACAGTAGACACTAAATTTTATCTGTTGTTTACTAGGGTGGAGAATCCAAATTAGTAAGAATAGTGAAACTATTCTGATTATGAAAATAAAGCTTATCTTTATTTGTTTTACATAGTATCACCCTGTATTCATTTCTAACCTGTTTTAAAATTTTTTTAATATAATCAAATATTTGAAGATATTCATTAGAATATTAAAAAAATAATGTATTAGCTGTCAAAAATCTTAGTCATTTACACTGCTGTAGTTTTAAATTTTTCAAAGCACTTTTATGTACATACCTCTTCTGAGCAGCTACCTGAGAACTGTATTAAAAAGGAGAAAATAAAAATCTTAGAATTTCAAGTAAGTCAAAGCCACTACAATTCTTTTTGGGCAAGTTTCAAGATTAGCTTTGTTGGATACTGTATCATTAGAAAGCACTTATAATAAACAAAATGTAACTGCTAATTATATTTATAAGTCAGTTTGGGTCTTAACTGCCTAATAAATAATTGTTAAGTATCCTTATGTAAAAGAATTGCTCTTTAATAATAAAAAGATAGAAAAGTATATTAAATCCAGGGAGACATTGTCATTTTCATACTGTTTGACTATAAAAACTCTAGAAAGAGTCTAAATGGTATCATTGTACTCACCCCCTTATGAAGTTAAATCCATGTGCACAGACCAAGAGGTTTCCATAGGCATCAACTTTCAAAAGATTTCCATATAGTGTATCAAAGACAAGTCCCCTATGTGAAAATGAAAACATTATCAATAATGCAAAGTAATACGGGCAATAATCTTAATTACTCAATCACCATGAACCAAACTCCTCTTACTCAAGCTTTATGGAAACTCAAGTATGTCCCAAAACAACATAACCCTAGAGGCTAAAGTGAGTGAATGAAATCTTAAAAACGAATCCCAGAGCAACTAAAAAGTATTATACTTAGTCTAGATAATCAAAACTGTTTTCTATAAAGAATGAGAGCTTAATCAAACAAGGTATAAACTATAATTCCTCTTAATACAGCCGGTTCCATTCTAATTTCCTTGGACAACTAAACTGGCTTGTATTTCCCTCTATTAGATGTTGTATATGGGACATGAATGATGTTGACATCTCAAAAAAAAAACCATCATCCTTCTTAATCTTAAACCTTTCCTATCAAATCCATTAACACAAATTGTCAAGAGGCTCCTCTAGCCCTGGCCAGGTAGCTGAGTTGGTTATAGCATCGTCCTGGTATGTCAAAGCTGCGATTAGATATCCAGACAGGGCACACATAAGCAGCAACCAACGAATACATAAATAAATGAAACAACAAATCAATGTCTCTCTCTTTCAAATCAATAAAAATAAAAAATTTAAAGAAAAAGATGCTCCTGATTACCAAATTAAGTGTATTAGCAAAACATGTAACTGCTCTCCAACAACCAAAGGTAGGAGCATCTGTGATTAATTACTGGCCATCAGTTTTAATCCAATTTCTTTTCCATAAATGGATCTCCTTCAGTAACAATAAACTAAGCTCACCCGGCCAGTGTGGCTCAGTGGATTGAGCATGGTCCCATGGACTGAGAAGTCCCGCTTCGATTCCTGGTCAGGGTACATACCCGCGTTGTGGGCTCCATCCCCAGCAGAGGGCATGCAGGAGGCAGCCTATCTATGTTTCTTTCTTACATTGATCTCTCTCTACCCCCCTCCCCTTTGTCTCTCTCTAAAAAAAATCAATAAAAATGTATTTAGCCCTGGCCGGTTTGGCTCAGCGGCTAGAGAGTCGGCCTGCAGTCCAGAGAGACCTGGGTTCGGTTCCCGCTAAGGGCATATACCTCGGTTGCAGTTTGTCCCCGGCCCTGGTTGGTCATGCGGGTGGCAGCCACTCGATGTGTCCCTTTCACGTCGATGTTTCTCTCTCTCTCTCTTCCTCTCTCTCCCTCCCACTCTATCTGAACAAAAGAATGGAAAAATGTCCTCGGGTGAGGATAAAAAAAAAAAAAGAAAATGTACTTAAAAAAAACACAAACAATAAACTAAGCTCAATTCAAGAACATAAAAGATACAGTGCACATGAAAAGTCCTTGCAAAGTTTAGAATCACCACCACCCAACCAACCAACCAAAAAAAAAACCCCACCAAAAAAACTTTTATTTTTTATGTTTGATCAGGGCTGCAGTTGGAATTATTAATTTGAGGATAAAGGAGCCTTAATCCAAAAAAATCTTAAATAATTACCTGGTAGGGAATGTGGAATCATAAGCAAAGTTGAGTAGTTCCTGAGGATAGCCAATAGAAACTAATCTCTCCACAGTCAGCTCAAAACCAAGGGACTCATACTCCGGGGACTTATACACTGCACAAAGAAAAGATTCTGATTAAAAGAATAGCCAATTAAAATAGAAGGCAAATGAGTGAATTTCTACTCTTTCCTCCATCTTCCTAAATTTCTACCAATTCCTCCCACTTTTTAAATCTGCCATTTTTTCTTTTTTTCCACCCAAAATCCGTATTTTGTACTGCCCCAAGTAAGCACAGAACTCAACTGTTAGTCTGTGGAAATAGGTCATATTATAGTAGGAACAGCAGCAATAGATGAATTACCAGACATTTCAGAATAGTTCCTTCATTCTTAAGAAAATGAATTCAAACAGTTTTCCTCTTTATCTATTTTTTTCATGCCCATAATCTAAAAGGGGGGGGGGGGGGACTAATATGCAGTTGTGATATTAACAATGTGAATATAAGTGATATAGAAAACTAGGTAGAGAGGTCTATATATTGAAGGCTTCACTGGTGTAGGAATCCTTCAAAATGAGCTTTTTAAAACCCACTCTGTTTTTGAAATTCCTATTTGGCTTGGTAGCTGTTTTACATTCCTTTTTCAAGCAGCATCATTCTACTATAGGGTGTCCTCCCCAAAATGTATACAGGGTATCTGCAGATTTTATTACATTTTGAAAATGAATTCTATTTTAATAATCACTGGCTTTATAATTATATATTTTTGTGTATACATTGTTTGAGGACACCCTATAATTGTCAGGATTAACTTATTTTCTTATCAGCCCTAACAATACTGTATTTTACAAACTATTATGGCAAAATCAACCATAAAAGGACATGTCTGAGATAATTAGTGCAATCGGGATGTGAAATGGGAGTTAGATATTAAAGAATAATGATCCATTTTATTAAATATGATAATGGAAAAACTGGGATGTACAAGTATATGTATAAAATATATATCTCTCTTTATCTGCCAAAGAATCATACTGTTTTTTACAGGTGAAATAAAATGGATTTTGGAATATGGGGGTTTCTCTCTTATATTGTATATGTCTGAAATTTTCTATGAAAAAAAAAACAAAAAACTTTTTACAACCATCACTGCAGTTCAGCATAAAGAAAATGTTGGTCCTTTAATTGGATTTCTTACAAATGAAACATTTAGGTAAGCATCCTTCCATCAGTGTCTAGGAGTAGGTGAGCCATATTAAAATAAAAAAGACCCCCACCTCCACCCTACCCAAAAGACCTGCTATCTTGCTAAATGACAAGTAAGGCAAAAAAAAAAAAAAAAATTTCATTCTACCCCTATAGTCTCATAATAATGCAACTATTATCATTACATTATCACAGTGCTCCTATCTGTGATTAACATACAGCCTATGACTTAAACTGATTTGTTCTTCATTGCAATTAGTATGCCTATCCAAGTTAATGCTAATATTTTAATGAGTACAATCCAACTTTCCCTTTCCAAAAGCAATCCTTTAGACTATTTCTGAAAATATATAAAAGAGACTATAACACTGGTTGCCTCCACAGAAGGGAGATGAATGGCTAAGAGAAGGGGAAGGAAAAAGGAAGACCTTATGTACCTTCTTTTGCACTTTTAAAAATGTGTAACATATTAATGTATTTATCTATATTTTTTAATTAAATAAAAACTTTTTAAAAGCAAGGCAAGCATTCACAGTCCTGTAATAAATGTTTGTCATATTTAAAAAGCCTAGAATTTTTAAGGTCTTTTAGGAGATGCCCTAAGTCTCATAACATCAGAACAATGCCTAAAAGGCTATCATTTCTTTGTTGTCTCAGGGGTAATAATTTAATGCTAATGCTAACCCCAGCTAACATTTTCAAAACTGGCTATATTTTTTTCCTCCCCTCAATTCCATCCCCATCCTCATCCCCCCACAAAACAAAACAAAACAAAACAAAACAAAACAAAACAAAACTATTTGAGCCTCAAGTGTGAAATTCTTAAATCTAGATGATAGATATATACACTGTGGTAAAGGAAGTGTTAAATATTTGTACACACTAACAGGATAAGAGCAGATGTATTATCATAAAAGTAGGAAAGCATGGTATCCACTGACGTCAATTTGAATTAGTTTGAGAATATAAAATAACATCTCACACCCCACCCAGTACATCCACCCCAATGAAAAGTAAATAACATTTTAACATAATTTCCATTAAAACAAAACTTATTTCTCTAACTACAAAACCCCACTTATTTCAAATAATAGTTAATGAAACAAAATTCCAGTATAGCTAACCAATTTGGGTAACCCATTGATTCTTATAGATTTGGCCCATATCAAGTATTTTCAGTTAATAATTTTTCAGAATGATAATTTGCTGGATATGCCTTAAGAATGGGAGACAAAAACAAAACAAACAAACAAACCTTAATCACTGCTATACAGGCTCACCCTAAATGAGCAATTTTCCCTAGTCAGAGAATCAGATAATTATAGAGTGATGGAGTAATGGTGATTAAAATCTATGTCTATGAGACAGTTTGAATTGAAACCAAATCAATTTATTCAGAATGTTAAGTGGGGAAAAAAATACAGGGGGAGGGGATGGAATAAAATCTCAGATCCCCATTTTGCGAGAACAAACCCAAGAATAGCAAAAAAACAAAAACAAAAAAAAAACAAAGCCTTATACACCTGCCACATTGTATATTCCAGGGCAAAACAACTCAAGTGTTCAAATGAGATGATTTTCTAAAATTTCCACCTATAGAAATAAATACTTTAAATTTCCTTTCTCTCAATGAGTTTAGAGTACTTCCCCAAAACACGACATATTTTCCCCATTTGCTGACCTGAAATTATATTATATGGCAAGTACAAACATCAGCTGAAGCCAGAATTTAGGTCCCTCCAAGTCTCATCCAAAGTTGTGGTCGGGTGTACTACACTACAATTGTTAAAAATTAATTTCTAGATTATATAACCCATCCAAACTTAAGCTTGGATGTTGAAAGCCACTAACTATCCCTCCAATTTCTTTTATCTAGTCCAAAATAAACTGCTCTAGTCACAGACGGGAATGGATTTAGCAAAGCGAGTCCAAGCTCCACCTTGACAACACTATCTATTTCACTAAGCTCTATATTAATCAGTAAGAACTACGAGCTATTGACATTTTCTCATAAGCTTCCCGGATAATCATTTCAGTAACATGAACTCCTGGGCCATTAAATCATCTGCCAGGGAACTATAAAGTACAACCAGGGCTTGAGAAGCAGAATTGCAGTTGCACAGAACATGAATTTAGATGTTTTGTTTTAAGTGTCCCTTGGGAATAATCACAATTTGTTCTGACCTGGTGGCAAAAATGACTATTTCTTGAAGCCTACAAAGTACCACCATTCCTTGAAAAATTCCTCTATGAAACAACTAGGCCAGCTTTGACATATGTGGGGAACCATACATATTACCTCTGACTATAGATTGCTATGCCTCTCCACAGCTGTAAAGATTCTAATTACAATTTCACTTGCAAAACTGGACAGTAAATGATGCATAGTTTCCAGTTCAATTCTTACAACTAACTTCACAAAACATAGCTTCAGAGTAAACATAACTTCACACATGTACTGCTTATTTCTTCCCAGAGAAAGTCCTCAGTCCTATCCTAATTTACCCAATATCCAAAGACAAAGGGAAAAGTTATTTAAAGGCTACAGTCCAAAAAAGAGGACTGCTTCAGCCACTAGGGCAGCACACAGTGTTCTCAGGTTACGTAACTAGCCTATAAAGAGAACAACCAAAGCCTTGAAAGCTAAAGCTACTGAGAGCATTTAAAGGTATTCTTTACTCCATCATCTCCAAGAAGAAAAAGTTCTTCAAAAGATTTCAACTGCATGCTGTGGGGATGAAAGCTCTGAGCTTTGAGTAGATGCTGTTCATACAAGATGGAACTTAGGTTAAAGGAGACAGTGCCTTTGGAATGAGCCAAAAACTTTTTGCAGGGAAGTCTGGAATTCTCATGCACTTTTTACCTTTGCCACCAAGACACACTGTGGTAGTAGTTTATAGATTTTAGAAGGAAAAAAAAAAGGGCAAACCTCTACAGAGGTTCCAGCCTAGCAGAGTGCTGCTGCCAAAATGAGAACTCACATGAGGCAGATGCAGATGCAGAGTGTGTCACTCCAGTCTTGAAGGAGTTACACTGGCTCTCCTGTTAAAAAACAAAATAAAGCAACAAAACAAAACAAAAACAAAAACAGGTTTTAAAACTGTTGTGATGGGCTGGAACGGAGAGACACCATTTGGAAATTGGTATTTAAAGGAGTTACTGCCCCCTCCTATGTAGAAGCCTGTGATCATCACTAAAATTCATCTAATTGGCCATAACAAAACAAGGGTATTGAAAATAAACCTAAGTATTGTGCATTATTTACTTTTCTGGCACCCTGAGCCAAGTATGACCCTGAAATGTTAAAAGAAAAACAAAAAAATTAATTGATTTTGTCTTAGTTTATTTTCTCTAGCATATTTCAGGTTAATATAGTAGAAACTTAATGCAGCTGATTAGCAGTATTTAAAACTGAAACAGACTAAAGATTACAAGAATAAACCAGAGCAATCTCATCTTGTTTTAAAGTACCCATTTAAACTAAGTCTACCTATACCTAACTACCTATTCTTCTACCCTAACACCTAAATTTGCCATCGTGATATAGACAAGAACCAAATTCATGATGCTAAAAACCTAACCTGATGTCTAAGTGTGGAATAGAAGAAAAATTTTAAATTTTGATTCTGTCAGTGGATATTTGCCCTCAGTAAGTAGAGTCATATTATTCTACTTTCATAATGTTAAAGAAACTACCCAGTCTAGTAAAATAAGTGACTCAAAGATACATGAAGAACCCTTACAACAGATACTGACATTTTAAAGATATGTATTATTTTAACTTTATAGGGAGTCATTTTCCCTAGAGACATTTAGGCTCAACATATCATTAGGCTTCTCCAATTTCTGAATTTTTGTGAGAGATGATATTAAATAGAAGAGCAGAAATGACTAAGTATAATGTCTAAA